GGTTGAGGTTTTTAAGATCTATTCTATTTATACTTGTAATAAAGTATTTGACCAATATTAAGCATACGCTTCTAAGCCTTCATTCAATATTGAGCACTATTTTGAGGCTATTTGGTTTTAATGATTTCTGATTCGGGCTTTTTAGAGATCTATTCTGCTTATACTTGTAAGTATACTTGAAGAACTTATACTCTACTCAAACTAAACTTAGGCTATACTTAAGATTATACTATACTTATCTATTCTAATATTATACTTTTACTGTACTTTTATTCATAAGCATACTCTTCTATGCCTTCATTCAATATTAAGCACTATGTTGAGGCTATTAAGTTTTAGTGATTGCTGGGTCGGGTTTTTTCTTAAGATCTATTATACTTGTACTTGTAAGTACACTTGAACTTATACTTTACTTAAACTACACTTATGCTCTACTTATACTATACTTAGAATATAATAATATTATACTTATCTATTCTAATATTATACTTATACTGTACTTATATTCATACTTTATACTTTATACAGGTAGTAATATCTATAGTTACTTGCACTAGTTCTTATAAATATAATACTTATAATTACTTTATATTAGTACTTACTTATACTAGCTCTTTTATTCACAACACTTATACTCTGTATATATATTTTCTCTTGACACTGCTGTACTATGCTTTACCCATACTAAATTTATATCAATGATATAGCGTACTTATACTTACAACTTAAAGACTTATTCGTGCTCTAATCTAAACTCATAAGACAAACAATTAGCGCTTCTTGATTTTTGCCAGCATTTCTCTTTACTCTTTTTTCTCTCAGTGTATATACAAACACATATTATTCTTTTATTATAAAGCTACTAGAAATGTATGCAGCTCAGATATGTAATTTTTGTCTGCCCGTCTAGCGCAAGGGTGTGTACACACACTCCCCACTGGCTCGGTAGGCACTGTGTAGAGTATGTATGCTATAGACCCATTCAGTTGAGTCGAGTTCGAGTCATCGTCAACGTGTCTATGTACTAATCATACATTATTCATCAGCACAATTTTACTCGAAAAACGGCTGGAAGATAGAACACAAAACTAGGCCCCGGCCTTCCCCTTAGTGCCCCCACTCTCCTCTGGCCGCATGGCACACTCGCTTGCCCTTTTTGTAATGAGTGCGAGCACTAAAAATCGATACTAAAGAAAAACACAAAAATTAAAAAACAAACTGACTTATAAATAATGTTCAGGCCATGAGAAATAAAGCCAACAACAATAGCAGCAGCAGCAGCAGCAGCAACGGCAACGGCAAACGAAATGAATGTAATAAAATTTTGATATAGGCGTGAACTTTATGAAACAATAAGAAAGAAATAACAACAGCAACAACAATGGGCAATGGTCACTAAAAGACAAACACGCGCATGCAGTCAAGCACTCGGACACACACACACACACACATACACACGCAGCTATTAAATTGAAAACACCTTGAGGAACAACAACAAGAACAAAGGTTGGCAACAGCAGCCAGCCTAACCGAACTGCAGCCGCAGTCAAAAAGTCACAAAAGCCAAGCACTTAACTTATTACACGGCATTCCGATGTCCTTCCAAAACATTGACGTGCCACGCCCCCCCATTGCCGAGCCCCTACCGTTTGCCCACCTGAACGCCTGCCGCCACGCTGCCTCACACAAGCCCCGCCCCGCGGAGCGCGTCTCGCGTCTCGCGCCAGCGGAAGTCCTTAGTTTGTAGTCGTTAGCAGAGAGTCCTTCCTGGCTGGCGTTCGACTTCTAGTCGAAATATGCAACGCTACTTGACTTGTTTTCTATTTCTTCCTCCTCCGGCTCCTGCTCTTTTTGATTCCTCGCTCTGCCACTGTCAAATCGCAGTCAAAGAGGAGGAGCAGGAGGAGGAGTGCGATGGGCATAGAGTGAGAGAGAGCGGAGAGCAAGAGAGACGTGGAGCAGAGAAAATATTACGATTACAAGCATGTTTTGTTCTTCCTGCTATTCCACCATCGCACTTTTTTCCTGCTCGTCGGGCCTGCTGCTTCAATGCAGCGGTTCATACGCTCGCTGGCATGCTTGCAGCGCATTGCACTGAGAGAAATGCGAGGGTACTAAATCAATTAATCAGAGTAACTCAGCTTTATCTTTCCTCTCCATCTCGCAATGCATTTCTCATATAATCTCTCTCTATTTCTTTTTCTGTTGATAACTCTCTGCTTACATTTCATATTCCCTTTTTCACATATTCTCGTTTACTTTCTCTGCTCTTTTCCCAATTTCTGCTCCCCTTTCATTCAATTTGCCTCACTCACATCTTTTTTGTGAGACTTTTTATCTTTCTCTTCATCTCCATCTCTTCCCATCTCACACTCGCCCTCCATACATGTTTCCCTCCCCCTCTCAAGCTCAAAAATTCTAAACAATAATTCCATTAATTAGCCAAACTTATAATTAGTTAAGACCCTTTGTCTGCACATTTTCATTCCTCACAAAAAAAAAATGAAAAAAAGCTGTCTTCACATTGTTTTTGCATTTTCCCTCAGTGTAAGAGAACTTTGGTAACTTCAAGTACACGCGGCAGCGGCGGCTTCTTTTGTTTTTCTTTTTCGTGCTACGCCGTTATACGCGGTCATTTTGGCTTTAACTTTGTATTTGCTGTTGTGGGCCCTGCTAGCCCCCTCCCATTTTGCTTAACTTTCGTTATCGTTATTTAGCTCAGGGCCATTACACACACACACACATACACACACACACAGATACCCACAGCTGAGCCTTGTCAATTGCACAAAATATTGTAAAGTCAGCGACGCCTCTTTGCATAATTGCATCAACTTTGTGAACTACTTAAACGAAACAAAGCGTGTATGTGTGTGTGTATGTGACTATGTGTGTGTGTGTGTGTGTGTGTGATAATGCCAGAGGTACCTACCTGTCATCCGTCGGCTTATACGTTACAATGTACTTCTCAATGGGATGCGCCTTTAGATCAATCTGCGTTTGCCACGAGACACGCACAGCCGTTGGCGTTAGAAATGTAACGGTTATGTTTTCCGGCGTAGCTGGTATGGTGCCTGCACACGGACAGAGAGGCAAGATAAACATGTGTAGATAAATAACAGTTCGACATGACTGCACAGATAAACAACGTATTTTTAGCTTAAAATTAACATATCCAGATTAAGAAGTCAATAAAAAATAGTTGCTCTATATAAGCCTGGACTGTAGCACATTGATTGGAAGCCGGAATTTACATTTCATATTTACTCGGAATCGATACACTTGAATAAAAATCTGTGTTCTTACAGAGAAAACTAAAAACTGTATTTAAAGTGGATTATAATATAAATTTTTGAATATTTAATGGAATAAAATAAAGGAAATGTGTATAAATTTTGTTAATAATTATAAGAGTAATCATAATTTTTTTTTTTAATTTTTTTATTTACTCGGAATCGATACACTTGAATAAAAATCTGTGCTCTTACATAGAAAACTAAAAACTGTATTTAAAGTGAATTATAATATAAATTTTTGATTATTTAATGGAATAAAATGAAGGAAATGTGTATAAATTATGTTAATAATTATAAGAGTAATCATAATTTTTTTTTTTTAATATTTTTAGCGCAAGTTTTTCAGCTACTGAATCAAATATTTACTCGGAATCGATACACTTGAATAAAAATCTGTGTTCTTACATAGAAAACTAAAAACTGTATTTAAAGTGAAAAATAATGTAAATTTTTGAATATTTAATGGAATAAAATGAAGGAAATGTGTATAAATTTTGTTAATAATTATAATAGTATTAATATATATATATTTTTTTTAATTTTTTTAGCGCAAGTTTTTCAGTTACTGAATCAAATTTTGGCCTCTTTGAAGACCAGCCTATAAATGTTTGTTTATTCATGCAATTAAATGCACATCATTGAATCATATTTGGACTTGATGCTCATTGACTTCTCGATTTCTTTCAGTGTACACACACTTACCAGCTAGACAGGTATTGACAAACAGTACGACAATGAACACAAACATTGCGCTTCAATTGCTTCAGTAGTTTCAATTTCAGTTGCTGTTGATGATGGCTTTGATAATTCCACGCCTTCGTGTTGTTGTTGGTGTTAGTTCGTTGTTTGTTGTTGTTCGTTGTGTTGTTGTTGTTGTTGCTGCTGTTGTTGTAGTATGTCCTAAAAAAGCCGGATTTCCTATGGTTTCCGCTTCATTTGCTGGCATTCGTCATTGCACCTTCTTCGTGTAATTGTGGTAATTTTTGCTTCTTTTTTTGTTGTTTTTGTTTCTTTTGTTTTAGTATTTCTTTTTGTTTAGTACTTTATGAGTATTTTATGTTTGTTACCAGTTTGCATATGAATAGAAAGCTAACTAAAAACATAAAAATCAGTCTTGCTTTTTGTTCTCTGCGGTTGCTTCGGCTCCTTCGGCTGCGTCTTCTGCTTTTGCTGTTGCCTCTGCTCTATTATCCAGGCCAATTAGGCATTGTATATGTAATTGTTGTTGTTGTTGTTGCTGTTGCTGTTGCTGTTGCTATTGTTGTGATGGCTTAGTTATTTTCTTTTTCTATTCGCTTTTGTTTTAACTTTAACTTGAACTTTAGTTGGCTTTTTTCTTTCGTTTGTTTGTTTGAATTTATGCGTTTTTATTTTTTATAGCACATTTTTATGGGCTTCGCCATAGGCGTATGTGTGTGTAGGTGTGTGTGTGTGTGTCTGTGCGTTGTCTTGAATCATCAGACCGTTTTATTTCAGCTATGTTTATCTATATATGTATGTATGTATATCCGTTTCGTTTTCTGCTTCTTCTTCTTCTTATTCTTCTTCTTCTTCTTCTTATTGTTCTTAATGTTTCGTGCTACAATTGAGTAAAAATTATTCACATTGCGTTTGCTTTTGTTTTTTGTTTATTTCTTTTGCTGCGGCTCAATGCCATTTGTTGTTGTTGTTGTTGTTGTTGTTTCTGTTTCTTTTTTTTTTCTATATATAAAATCAATAAAAAGCGACAAACGACAAACGCCAAACGCCAATCGTTCAGTTGACAGTCGTTGATTTCTGACTGGAAACAAAAACTTGGGTTTTGTTTTCTATTCGAGTGTTTACTTATTCCTTTGTTTTGCTTTCCTTTTTTTTTTTTTAGTTTTTCCGCTTTTCCGCTTTACAATTTTCGTGCTCTTCAAACGGCCAATTTATGTGCTGTTGAAATTAATTCAATGAGACGGCGACGGCGCTGCATGAGGGCCGTGCACAGCTTTTCCACCTGTCGTCGCCGTCTTTTGATTTATTGTTGTTGTTGTTGCTGTTGTCTGTTTAATTTTATGCATTGCGCATTTGGTTAACCGTTGTTGTTGCTGCTGTTGGCTTAATTGCTATAGAAGCATTAAGGCAACTAATTTTTGCGCCTCTTGTTGCGCTTATTTCTTTGCCTTTCTTTGTTTGTTCTCTCGGTTTGTTTTTCGTGGCACGTTTTCGCCTTAATTACTATTGTTCTTGCTCGCTTGCTTGTTGGTGTTGTTGTTGTCGTTGTTATTGTTGTTGCTGCAATAAATCAAAGTTTTTGTGGAATATTAATGAGCATCTTGGCAAATGGTTTAGTCAAATTGGTTGTAAGAAGCTTAGGAAAACAAGGCAGCCGAACAATTACTTGAGCACAGTGAGCACTCTAGCAATAAACAGCAATTAGCTGGCCAATATTACTTATAAAGTGCTTAATTTTTATCAAGATTTGCCGCTGAATAAACACAAATTTTCAATAATCGCCTTAATTTCAGCTCAAGACTTCAGCTATTCATTGTAATGTAGTTTGACTGTATTCATACTTCAACAAATGGCTTAAGCTATTCACTTTAGCGTAGTTTGACTGTATCTATATATATTAATTTGTATATGTATTTATGTATGTACTTTAAGTACCTATTCATATATAAATACATATAGCTAAGAAGCCGGACTTTCGTTTTCATTACGGAAATTGAAACCAAACAAAGCGCTGCATACTTTCAGGCCCACACACACATTGCGCATACGCCACATATAACACACAGTCGTATATACACACATCTACAATCACTTACACACACACACACACACACACACACACACACACACACACGTCTGTCTAATGTGCTTTTCTAATACATAATTCCATTTGATATTCACATTCACGTTTCACGTTCAATTAGAAAGACTTGCATTAGCACGCAATCGCATTCGATCAAGCATGAATTTTTTTGCTGTTATATATAGATATATATGTATTATGTATATTTATATATATATATATATATATATATATATATATATATATATATATATAT